GACTTCTGAGAGCCTCACCAATAAAGACCCAGGATAGATGCCCCTGAGGCTTGCAGGTAAGGCAGGCAGCATGCTATCTTTGGCCTAGTGCTGTCCCCAGCCTCGGAGACCATCTTTGGGAAACAGGAAAATCCCCTTTCCAGAAGATGATCTGACAGTGCCCAGTATACCAGGTTGACTCTTAAGTTTACCCCAGCCATTGTGTTCTGAGGATCACAGTTCCCTCTTGAACCATATGGGAAGATCCGCCCAGCTGACTGAGTTCCGAGAAGGGATGGCGTCCCCACCACCATGAACGATTCCTCTGAGAACAGCTGAAATGGACAGGGATGAGGAGGAGAGTCAAAGTCTCATTTTGGTTTTGGCTTTTTAAGATGGTGGTCTTAGTATAGAGCCCTGGGTGGCCTAGAACTTGATATGTAGACCAGGCTGGCCTCAAACTTAAGGTAATCTTCTCTCCAAGTGGTGTGCACCAGCACACCCAGCCTGAACTTTAAAGAATTTTGGCTTAACCAGATTTCCTTTCTGTTTCCAAAGCTAAGGCCCTTCCTATAGATGGCAGAGTTAGTTTCTGGTTGGTAGGGGATCCCTGATGTCAGCTTATACCTTCTGCCTTCAGAGTCAGCTCTTCTGGGGAGAAGGCTCTCCTAGTTTGCTTCCATGTTGCCATAAACACCGTGAGCAAAGGCAGCTTGGGAAAGAAAGGGTTTATTTCAGCTTACAGGTTACAGTCCATCAGGAGGGAAGCCAAAGCAGGAACTCAAGATGGGTGCTGAGGCAGAAACCCAAGGAAGAATGTTTCTTACTGACTTGCCTTCTCTTACTTGCTCAGCTACATTTCTGCTGTAGTCCAGGCCCTCCCACCCGAGAATGACACCGCCCACAATGGGCGGGGCCCTCCTACATCAGTTAGCAATCAAGAAAGTGCTCCATAGAGCGGTCTGATGCAGGAGATTCCTCATGCAGGAGATTCCTCAATTGAGATTCCCTCTTCCCAAGTATGTCGAAGTTTATGTCAAGTTGACAAAGACTAGCCAGCACGAGGCCCACCAGGTGCCTTGTAATACCATCAGCAATTAGTGACGGTTCATTAGTCTGTAATTAATCAATGAATCTGGGATGAGAACCCTTCACTCTGCATACAATAACAGTTCCATTCATGACCCACGTGACAGACTCTGCTTAGCCTATAAAGACTTGAAGAGCACAGGAGCCAGAGGAGGGATTATTGAGATGGGGTTTGACTGTTGGGCTGGGTCTGGAATGAGAGAGGGAGGAGAGGGGCTTTGGATGGGATTCTACCCGCTTCAGGTCAGCCCCTCTCCTCCCGGGGCACAGCTGCTTATCCAGCAGTTCCACGTGGCTTAGCCAAGGCCACAGGAATCAGTTATTTCCCTTCCTTTATGTGACCTCAGAGGACCCTGAAGGTGGGCCTGGAATAAAGAAAACTCCAGAAAGGACTCACTTAGGAGGCCCAGAAGCCTGACTGTTCAATCCTGCCCCACCTGTGACTTGCTGTGAGCCAGTTCCCGACCTCCTCCAAGTCTGCAAGCATTCCCTGTGGAAAGGGTCCTCTTTCTGGAGACATCTCTGTGATCCCTGCGTCCTCCAGACACCTTCCCTTGCTAGCCATGGTAGATAACCTCAGAGACAGGGATGCAACCATTGACCCAAACTGTAGAGGCTAGCTCAGTAGCTCCTACCTCTGTTGCGGAAGATTGACCTGCAGGAGAGGGCTTCAAGCTGCCAAGTGCCCTCCAGGAGGAAGGTAGACTTGAGGCCTGAGAGTCTGGCTGCCTCTTGCCTCCTAGAAGATAAGGAACCAGGTATCCTTGGCTCAGGGCCTGACTTGAAGAAGGCTAGTGAGTGGCAGGGTGGGGTGCGGCGGTTTCCTGATCTTCTCAAGATAGTCGGGCCCACCCAGCCACACACCTGGCAGTTGACCTCAAGGACACCTAGTGTGAACCTGTCTTCCCACCTCCCTCTGGGTTCTCCAGGAAAGCCATCAACGGAGTCAGAGTGGACCACTCTGAATGCTAGCAGGACCTTTTTTCTGCCATGCCAGCTTGTCCTTCGTTCATCCTCCCCAGTGCCTGCTTGAAGGCTTCCTTGCTGGTGTTTCTGGGCACATGGCTTTGGCCCTATTCATCCCACTAAGAGCTCCCTAGGACTTCAGCAACAAGAACAGAATAAATTGGGCCCTTCCCTTTGCTCTGCTCTCCTGGTGGGCTGTCCTGGGATTAGCACTGAGGATAAGACAGGCCCACTGTGCAGTTTGCTTTGAAGTTCTAAAAGGACAAGGAGGCCCAAAGGGCTGTGAGGCAAATGGGGGAGACAGGTTCAGATGGAACTAGAAGACAACAGAGGCAGCTGGAGGGTAGCAGACAGCCAGGAAAGTAAGGACAGGGATGGAGAGGGTGAAGAGGCACCGGAGAGATGGCTCAGTCAGCAAGATGAGCAAGCCTGTGGATCTGAGTTCAGATCCATCTCCAGTACCCATGTCAAAATCCATGCTGCCTGTAACCACAGTGCTGGGGTGAAGAGACGAGAGGATGCCTGGGCCTTGTTGGCCAGCTAATCCAGCCAAATCTTTTCTGAGAGATCCCATCTCAAAAATATGGAGAGAGATAGAGGAAGATACCTACAGTCAACTTCTAGCCTCCATATACATGAGCATACTCATTCATACATGCACACGCATGCACATACACACATCAGGGGGCGGGGGAAAGAATGTGTGAGGCACACAAACTGAACCAATGTGCATGTGCAAACATACAGCTCTCTCTCTCTCTCTCTCTCTCTCTCTCTCTCTCTCCCTCTCCCTCTCTCTGGCTAGGGGTATGGAGGTATGTGGTGTGCATGCTCCCTCAGCCTCCATCCACGTCTGTGATTTTCCACATCTCCATCCCCCAGCAGAAGCCTACAAGAAGCAGGCACTGCATTTTCCCTTAGTCATGACCTTGAAGGAAAAACCAAAAAGCAAGAAGCTTCTCATTCCCTCCCACACACAGCTGTGCTTGAGTTTGGCCCCTCACACCATGCTGGGTTGGAAACTTCAGGCCTGGAGTTTGTCAGACACGCTCCTCTTGTACCCTGGGGAGGAGTTTGGGACACAAGGTGCACCCCTCTTCTACACCCGACCCCAGTCTCTTCCTGCTGAGACTGAACTAGGTCTGAGCACTGAGAAAAGAGGCTCCGGTTCATCTAGTCCCCAACTGCAGCCGCTGGGCTGTTTAGCAAGGGCAGGCCTTTGGAGACAGTGAGAGAGGAATCCTAGCCTTGTAGACAGCTGACAGGGATGTAGGTCTTAGAGAGGGACTCGGGGTCCTGAGGTTGTACTGGGAGTCCGGAGAGTCAACTGGTCCATTCTGGAAAGAATCACAGCAGTCTCCCCACTCCCAGCTCCAGTTCTAGATTCTCCTCAAGGCCCAAAGGAGTCAGTCAGCTATGCCAGGAAAAGCCATTACCCTGACAGACTCCCCCACCTGCTAAAAGCTTCCTCCTCCGCCCCCAACCCCTTCCCCTGGGCCTTCCTCCCCTCTTCCCTTCATCTCACTCACCTACCCTGACCACCTCTTAGTTAGGCTGAGGAGACTTAACTCTTTGTGGTCCTAAGGGAAAGCTCTGTCTAACTTCCGCCATCTTTTAACATCTGACTTGTTCCTGCAAAATCCCTTGAGCTTGGATGGAGGAGGAGAGGACAGGAGCTGGAGGGGGAAGACGGGCTGTCAAGGAACAGGTCACGGGTTCCGATCTCAGACCTGTCGCTGCCATTCTCACGGCCTTGGTTTTGTATTTTCCTACACATCGAGTCACTTGAAAATCCCTAAGAGGCCCCCAGAGATGAACCAGTGTGGGAGCAGGTGTGTGACATGTGGCTTGTAGGAGGGCCTGCCTGCCTTCCTGCGTGTCCTCAGTGCACCCACATCTCCACGACCGCTGTGCTGTCTTCCTCTGCCTCTGTCAGGGGTACAGAGTCCCAGTGCAGGAGGCCAAGGTGACTCTGCATTTACATCGGTGTGGCGTACTGGTGGCAAAGCCCGTGAGCACTCTAGTCTCTGGCTTTGCAGGTGCAACTATCAAGAGAGAGGATAGAAGTGCAGAATGGCAGGAAGAGCTCATATGGCACCCCTCAGTCAGCCATGATCACAGAGACAGGGCAAAGGGACAGAGAGGGATGCACCAGACCTCCTCTGCTGGGTGTGTGGTGTAGCTCTGCTCCTACAGGCTGGGTCAGGGACTGCTCATCCCTACAGCAGCACCATTTACAGCCTGATACAACACAAGGATATTAACTCTTTCCTTGAGCCGTTTAATGGCTCTGGATCTCAGGCTACTCAGCTCCTGCACCCATAGGCTGCACTGAGCTACAGAGAACCCCGGCTCCTGCCTCACCCGCAAGCCTGCCCCTAGAGCCTGAGAGCTCAAGGGCCAGGAAGCTTCCTCTTCTGCCCTGTGCCCAGCACCCTGTGTCCACCCCAGGGTTCTGAACACAGTGGGAAGGGAAATAGTATACCACACTGAGAGGGCTCAGAGCTGAGGCATCTGGGCCAGCCTGCGACTCTGGGCCACACACTTAGAGAAATGAAAGCCAGGAACGAGCAGCCTAGAGGGGTGGCATTGGGCCAACTGTTATCCAGAAGCAACCTCCCATAGAACAGACCTCCAGAGAAGAGGGTCCAGATGGGGTCCCGGCATAGATGCACCTGCCAGGATCCCTCTTTGGCAAGGGGAAGGAAATCGGATAGGCGTGGCATCTGCCATGCTTTCACTTTGAACTTCCGGCTCCTGCACCTTAAGTAAAGGCCTCCGTAGTGGTCAGCAAGATGGGGTGGTCACCAAACAGAACAGCTGAGGGGAGAAGCATTGAGCCCAGGATGGCATGTGAGTCTACATGGGGAGAGCTGCCCACTTTCTGTCTACCCTCTGCCAGTGGAGCCCAGGAAGGGGTCACAGCAGGCAGGAAGGCTCCTAACTCAACCACCCCTCCTCTCCAGAAAAACCACATCAGAGGAAGCCACCGCTCACAGCCCCAAAGCAGTGACCTCTGTGGCCTCAGAACCCACCAGAACACCCATCTGGGGGGACACAGTGAAAGTGGAGGTCCAGGCAGAGGATACAGGACAAGAAGGTGAGGCTGGGGGCTTGGGGCTGGGGGCTGGCGTGCGGGAGGGGCAGTGAACACAGCTCTACCCCCTTGGAAGGCAAAAGCGGGCTCCTCCCAACACAGCTGGAGATCACCTGAGCACCTCCCTGGGCTCCGATAAAAGCATTTGAAAAAGACAATCATAATCCCATCACGCCTCATCACCCCCAGCCTGCTGGAAAAATGAGTTGTTCCACATAAATGAATTTTCCAGACAGTGTGAGCTTATCGTTTTTTATGGCGGTTGTTATTATTTTCATGGTTGTTATTACTGCCACGTCCCATAGAAACGCCACTTTATAGTTTTGTAGCATGTCCCCACGCATCCATCATTAGAGTCACCACCTCCTAAGAGGAGCTATGCTACTTAGAAGAGAACACTAAGGCTTAGGGAATTTAAATAACACAAATCCTGAGTGGATCTTTATCCCCAGCTTGTCTTCCCTTGGTCCTAGACCAGACACTCGCAAGTGTGCCCTGTTGTTTCTCACTGTGAGACCATCTAGTGTCTACCCTCAAGTGAGAGGTTAGGCTGGGCATATTGAAGTACTGACTGCTGATGCCAGAACTGATTGGAAACACTGGCACTGGGCAGCCTGGGCGCAATGGCGCTGGGCAGCCTGGGAGCACTGACTCTGGGAAGCCTGGGAGCACTGACTCTGGGAAGCCTGGGAGCACTAACGGCACAGAGCAGAGGTCCCTTGCCACATCCCTGGACACAGCTAGTCAGATCAGCAGCCTTACTTCTTGCAGATGGCTCTAGAAGAGACAGCAGGCTTTAGTGTCCTTGTTCACCTCCCAGAACCAAGAGTTGACTATCATGAGACCGTGGGAGGGAAACACCCACAAGGAGAAGCTAGCTGCAGGCAGGCAGGGGAACAGTTTCCTTTCTGGAAAGGGGGAAGTGGAGCTGTGGGGATGGTTTGAGAAGGTATGGAACAGAAGCAAAAACATCCCTGGGATTTCACAGATACACATGTGTGCTTGTACACGCACACTTTGCAAGGACCTGTGTGCTGGCTTGTGTGTTTCTGTGAATGCCATTGCATAATACTGTTGTCTGTGCTGTAGTCTCCCTACCCCATGAGCTCTCTCTCTCTCTCTCTCTCTCTGTGTGTGTGTGTGTGTGTGTGTGTGTGTGTGTGTGTAAGGAAGCTAGTAGGGATGGTAGGTGGCCCCTGCCTTCTGCCATGCACAGCTGGAATAAAATGAGGGAGGACGTGACAAGGTCAGTGGTCTTGAGTCTTTTGTGTAGCCAGAGCAGGACTAATTGCAGGAGAGATGGGAGGGGCAGGAGGGTGAGGAGGCCACACGAATTAGACAATATTGGCAGGCACCTCTTTGCAGACTAAAGTCGCTTGTTGGAACCCAGTTGGAACTGGTTGCTGTGGTGATATCTACAGCGGAGGTAGGGAATTGGGGGCCAGGCCAAGAGGCAAGAGGATTGGGTGGGAGAGGAGGCTTGAGGACATGTTGATGAAAAGCAAAGGGGGGTTTTAGACCCTGGATCAAGGCCAAAGTGGGCGGGTAACCAAAATGGCTTGTTGGCCACACAAAAGGAGTGGTGGGAAGCAGAAGGGCTCAGTGCCCAAACAGGAAGCTTATGAAGCCTGTTTGAAACAAGAAGACATGAGCATGGAAGGAATGGTTGTCCATCCCCCCAGTTACAGCTCAGGCCCAGTTTCTTACAAAAATAGAGCGTCCCAAGACAGGCAGAGATATAGGGTCTCATAAATTCCAATTGGTTTGGGGGACTCAGAGTCCATGGGGAGTGGGTGTGTGTTTACAGCTTCCTTGGCTGGGACTGCAGATTCTCCTCAGATCTGTTCAGGGATGGGTGATTGTGTGGAGAGCTGCAGATGGTTAACAAGGGTAAACTGGTGAGAGCCAGGGTGAGGGATATGCAGTCCTCATTCATAAGTCCTTCCTCAGAAATCTTAGAAATTGGATAAGATTTCTTTCTTTTCTGTTTGGTTATTTAAAGTATTAATGTTATACAGAAGCCCAGAGGGGATAAATGACTTCCTAGAGGCCAGAAAGTAAATTAGCACCTTAGCAAAAGAACCCAGACTTTCTTTCTGGGTCCAGATCCCATGCAGCCCACTCTTGGCAAGTGGCTTCCCCTCTCTGTGCATTCAGGGTACCTGTAAGGAAGACTTAGAAAGAATAGCTTCCTACCCTCTTGTCACCCCACTGCAGGTGGGAGGGGTGCACAGGCCTGGGGCAGCAGCTGTTCATGGCACTCAAACGTCCTCTAAGGAAGGGCACCCCTCAAACAAACTCCTTGTCCTTTCTTGTCCATTTTTCTCTGTATCTCTTTAGATTTCCCTTCTTCCAGCTCCATCTTCTCTCCCCCATCCCTTTATCCTTCTCCTCTTTCCTCATTCCCCACCTCTTCTTCTAAAAAACAATCACAGATTTCCAAGAATGGGGAAAATGAATAATCTAGCCTCCTTGCCACCATTTCCCAGCTGTGGGATGTTGGTCCAGTTCCATGCCCCCTTTGAATGCCACTGCTCATATTTTAGAGAGAAAGGTGATGGTACTTGTTATAAGAATTCATAGGAATTCTAGCTGGGGAATTTTTAGCATTGTGCCTGGAACACAGCAGGTGCTCATGAGTGGGTACCGTGATCATTTCCAGGATTCTGGCTTTCTCCTTAAAGTTTGTCCTGATTTTAGGAGACAATGTTGTCTCTGGGAAATGTTTACTAAATGGTGTGCTGATCTTCATTCTAATTTCTTTGGAGCAGAGCTGGAAAAAATGGCTTAGTGTTTAAAAGCACTTGTTGCTATTGCAGAGTACCTAGACTCAGTTCCCAGAAGGCACACGGAAGCTCACATCTGTTTGTAACTCCATGACTTAGAGTTTCTATTGCTGTGAAGAGACACTGTGACCATGGAAACTCTTAAAGAGGAAAACATTTAATTGGGGTGGCTTGCTACAGTTTTAGAAGTTTAGTCCATTATCATCATGGTGGGAGATGGTGGCGTACAGGCAGACATGGTGCTGGAGAAGGAGCTGAGAATTCTATATCTTGATCCAAAGGCAACAGGAAGTGAACTGAGACAGTGGGCATGGCTTGAACATATATGAGACCTCACAACCTGCCTCTACAGTGACAGACTTCCTCCAAAGCCAAACCTACTCCAACAAAGCCACACCTCCTAGTAGGCCACTCCCTGTGAGCTTATGGTGGGTGATTACATTCAAACTACCAAGTTCTACTCACTGATCCCCATAAGCTTGTAACAATATCATGATGCAAATGCATTTAGTCCAACTTCAAAAGTACCTATAGTCTATCACAGTCTCAACAATGTTTTAATGTCCAAAGTTCAAAGTCTCTTCTGAAATTCATGCAATTTCTTAACTGTAATCACCTATAAAATCAAAATAAAAAAAAAACAGATCACAAACTTCCAACATATAATGGCACAGGATATACATTACCATTCTAAAACATAGGAAAGGACCATAGTGAGGAAATACTAGACCAAAGCAAGACCGAACACTAGCTGGACAAATTCCAAACTCTGCTTCTCCGTGTCTGATGTCAAAGCGCTCTTCAGATCTCAACTCCATTCTCTGTCTCTGTCTCTCTCTGTCTCTCTGTCTCTGTCTCTCTCTCTCTGTCTCTCTCTCTGGCTGGTTCCACTCCCTAGTAGCAGTTTTCCTCAACAGGTATCCCACAGCTCTGGCATCTCCAACATCTTGGGATCTCCAAGGCAATCCAGGCTTCAACTTTATAGCTTCACACAATGGCCTCTCTAGGTCTCCATTCAAGACACCCCTGGCACATGTCTGACCTCAACAGCTTTCCTAACTTGCTGAGGAGTAATGGAGAATATCCTATTACCTCTTCCTTCTATCCTTAAAGCCAGAACCACAGGGCAGAAGCTGCTAAGTTCTGATGCCTGCTGGGGCTAGAATATGCCCCCCCCTGTTCAATTACATCTTGACCAGCTTTCTGTCTTCCTTTACTCCCTAGGCTTGGTTGTCCTGAAACTGGATCTGTAGACCAGGCAGGCCTCCCACACTGAGATCTGCCAGCCTCTGCCTTCTGAGTGCTGGGATTAAAGGTGTGAACCACCATACCCAGTTCTAAGCTTTTCTTTATCCCTTTTCACAAGTTGGAAGCTTAACTGGGTGGGATCTTGCCCTGAGGTCACCACTCCCTTTATTCCATGCCTTAATCTGATTTATCTCCTTGAACACAGGATTTAGCTCCACTCTACTTCCTGGTGCCCCTTTTCTCAATCTGTTCATTTTGAATTTTCATTTGCCCAACTTGCTCCTTTTCATTATAAATCTTCGTTAGAGTTACCACTAATAACCACACAACAGACTCTATGCTAGGCTGTTTTGAGATTTCCTCTGCCAATGGAATTCATCTAAAACTCTTCACCTTAGATTCAGGCAGACTTTTTGGACAAGGGCGAAAAACAGTCACATTCTTCACCAAAATATAATAAGATCAATCTCTAGGCTACATATTGCTATTATTATTCTCCTCTGAGACATCTTGAGCTAGTTCATCAAATCACACTCAGCACCACTGTCTTCCATGCTCCTACTAGGATGGCCCATTCAGCAACACTTAAAACATTCAACTGCTTTTCTAATCCACAGTCACAAGGTCTATATTCTTTCAAATAAAACCATTGTCAGGTCTCTCACAGTAATACCCCAGTACCTGTATTCTGTTGTAGTTCGGGTTTCTATTGCTGTAAAGAGACAATATGACCACAACAGCTTTTATAGGGGAAAATATTTAATTGGGGTGGCTTACAGTTCAGGGGTTTAGTCCATTATCACCATGGTGGGACATGGTGGCATGCAGGTAGACATGGTACTGGAGAAGGAGCTGAGAGTTCTACATCTTCTTCCAAAGGCAACAGGAAGTAAACTGAGACACTGGGCATGGTTCAAGCATAAATGAAACCTCAAAACCTGCCTTCACAGTAACACACTTCCTCCAACAAGGCATACCTATTCCAACAAAGCCACACCTCCTAATAGTGCCACTCCATATGAGCTTATGGGGCAGTTGCATTCAAACTACCGCACCACACTCCAGTCCCAGGGAATCTGATTCCCTCTCTGGCCTTTGCAGGCACAAGGCTATCACATGGTGCACATGCAGTCATGTAGGCAAACACTCCCACACAGAAAGTGAAAATGAAAATAAAATTAAACTTCCCAAAAGTACTGAATTTACTTGGAGTAAGCTTCTTTAATTATTTGTTTTTATTTTATGAGTTTGAGCAGTTTGTCTGCCTGCATGTCTATGCACCATATGCATGCAGTGCCTATGGAGGCCAGAAGGGGATGTGAGATCTGGACCTGGAGTTACCAGTGTTGTTAGTTGCCTTGTGGGTTCTGGAAATTGAACCCAGGTCATCTGGAGAGCTGCCAGTACTCTTGATGCTGAGCCATCTCTCTAGCCCCATGAAGTAGACTTTTCCTGGTTCTTATATTGAGCATTTTCTTGAATAGATTGTTGTTCTTGACTGAGCCTCTCTTTCCCTACCTAAAACATACAGGACACACGCCTTCCCAGTGGGAGTGTTTCTGACCAAGGGGTCTCAGTCCTGCAGAGGGCGCTATTACCGTTGGCCTGTAACACTATGCTTACATATGTCTATTGCCTTGTAGGACTGAACTTGGTCATATGTGGCCATTCTTGGGTCAGAGGTTCTTCACATTTGGAGGTTCTCACAGTACATGACATGGAGCCTTGCCCTGGATAGAAATGCAAATAGTGCCTGGGGGTTTTTATACACATGTATGTTTCCCACATGTCCATGTGTCATGTGACTTTCCCCAGGAAAACAAATGTGTTTATCCCATGTGGTGTACCACGACAAACTAATGATTCCTCTCAAGTCTAGCTTGATGGACCAGAAAATTTATTTAGGTTACTTCAAGAAAGGAGCTACTATATTAGTCTCCTTCCCCATCACTGTGATAAAACATTGACCAAAAACAACTTGGGGAAGAAAGGGTTTATTTGACTTACAGGTTATAGTCCATCAGGGGAAACCAAGGCAGGAAGTAGCTTAGAGCAAAAATTAACAGAAGAATTTTGTTTACTGGCTTGCCCACTACTTTTCTTATACAGACCGGGCCCGTCTGACTAAGGATGGCACCGCCCACAGTGGACTGGGCTCCCTGCATCAATTAATAGTTAAGAAAATGGCCCAAAGACATGCCTACAGTTCAGTCTGATGGAGTCAATTCCCCACTTGGTGGTCCTTCTTCCCACATGACTCTAGTTTGTGCCTACTTGACAAAATCCAGCCAGTACAGTCACAGGAGCATGGGGGCTCGGAGGCAGCAAAATCACTGGAAAGCTCACCCTCAGCTGGGGAGGCAACTCACAAAAGCAGCATCAGTGTGTGTGTGTGTGTGTGTGTGTGTGTGTGTGTGTGTGTGTGTGGAGTAGATTCTGGCACAGCTTGCAGGCAGCTCCACCAGAGAATCTCCTTTTACCAGTAATTGTTGACTGCTATTATCATCGGGAGGGGGATTGTGAATTTTGTAATTTTCTGAGCCTTTCCATTTCATGGTTTTCCTGAGTTTTGTGAGCCTCCCTCCCTGCTCCAGAAGGGAGTGTTTACTTCTATGAAAAAGCTACCCAAGGAAAGGCCTACATTCCTCCATGCGTTCCAACATCTGTCTGTCTCCACAATGTCCCTTGCCTCTCGCTGTCTCCCATCACTGGGAAAGCTCTTTCCCCACCCTCCACTCTCTCCAGATGTCATCCTCAAGGTGATGGACAACAACAAGAAAGAGGAGCTGGTGTCCTATACAATCCCCATTAAATACCTACGTGTCTTCCACCCATACCACTTTGAGTTTAAGAAGGTAAGCCTAAGCAAGCCCCAGGCTCAGCCTAACCTCTGCCTGGCTAGGAGAGATCTGATGGGGAAGTGCTTTGGTGTTCCCAAATGTTCTCTGAGAATAGAGTGGAGGGTGGGCCCAGGCCATGTTCCTCCCAAGCCAGAGATGTGGAGTATAAATTTGGTAGGCAAAACATTCTCCAGAATGAACCCTGTCAGGGGGACAACTGAATACCAACCTGGAGTAGAAATTCCAGCCTCTCAACCTTGGACTAGACTCCTTACTGCTGATTGGTGAAGGGGAAGATCCACTCTCATTGATCAAGCATTATATTAAGTACCTACTGAGTGCCTGGTCCTGGACCACAAAGGAGTAGAAGCATCACCTTGCTCTCCTCCAACAAGCACTCCAGAACTTTTCCTTTCAAAGGAGAGGACAACAGGAGATAAGATTGTCTGGGTTCCTTCCCAGGTCTGCCACTCCCTAGCTGTATACCCATAGGAGGCCACTTTACTCCAGTCCTCCATTACTCCATAGCGAAGGCAAGACATGGCACCTCTAGACAGGCTCTGGTGTGGTAATGGGTGAAGTGCCAGCACATGGGAAGAACTCAGCATAGGTAGTTCCCATCCTTTCTCCTTCCCTCAGGCCTTGGCACTCACCTTTCTGCCAAGCAACTCTTCTACTATGATGCCAGAGATCTTTATCTTCCCTGGGTTCCAGGACTACAGAAGGGGAACCAGGGCAGGCAGGAAAGCAAACCTCTTCCCCAAGAGACCCTGGAGGTAGCCCTAGATCTGTCTCTGCCAGCCCCTAGCCCCCCCAGCCCTCTGTCCACCTACATCGCAGGCCTCCTTATCACATTTTCACCCAGAGAGCAGGCAGCAGTAGTGTCTGCGAGGGCAATGAAATATTCAAACGGAAAAGGGGAGATTTATTGACCGATCTTCTTGGAAGGGCTCCCAGGGACCATGAGCTTTAATTACAGCTGGAGTCCCAGTGGTGCAATGATAAGCAAGTGTCCGCACAGGGCTGGATTTATGACCAGGTTCTGCCCCTTAGACATGCTCCTTCCTATGTTTCTTCTGTCTCCATCCTGTCTTCACCCCACGCAGTCTGAGAATGCTGATGAAGACACTGCCAAGACCCGCCTCTATGCCACCGTGGTTCGGAAGGGCAACTTGCTACCCCGCTACATTGGCTGTGACCATACCGCTCTGGAGGTACCAGCACTGGGGGGACTGTGGGGACAAGTGGAGCCCTTGATTGCCTCCAATTGGCCTTAGAGTATGGACCAGAGGTGTCTAGGGAAGAAATCAACAAGGACAAAAGCGATGAGACCTTTCCAAATTAGCCAGCAAGACGGCTCAGTGGGTAAAGTGTTCGCGTGCAAACCTGATGACCTAAGTTCAGTCCCTGAAATATACACAGAGAACTGACTCCATAAGGTTGTCCTGTGGCCTACACTCACACAAATATACACATGCATGCATGCATGCACCATGCACAAGCACCCCTCCCACAGACAAACATACCATACACACAATTAGAATAATTTTTTTAAAAAAAATATTTAAAACATAAACAACAAAATAGCCAGAATGTGTGAAGACGATCCCTGATTGGGACAAAAGTACCCTGGTCTCTCCTTCCTGTAACTGCCCTTGGAAGGAGGAAAAAGGGGCCGAGTGGCAGCTGTGTTTCTCATGTGCCTGTGTATTTCAGGGAGCAACAGTAGGCTCCCTTGGATTTTGCACTCCCAGGAGCAAGGAAAAGCCCATCTTCCATATCCTGGTCCAGTCCCTGGCTGTGTTCAGGTCTGTTCTCTCCTGTTGGGGTAAGGACCCATGACCTAGGGCTTACGACTGCCAGACAAAACCTGCCATCTCCCTGGCCCTTCCTGAACTCGGCTGGTCTACTGCTTGAGTGTTCACAGCCTCTTTCACCCACTCATCCTCCAACAGCTATTTATACACCATCAGTCACCCTCAGCCACTGGGCAGACCGAGCACAAGCCAAACCATAATATCTCACCTTTCAGCCCAGCGACAGCTTCGGGAGGAATGACGGATGCTTGAGGCAGGCACGGCCCAGGCTCCTGGGCCCTGAGCCTCTCCCTAAGCCACAGATGCCTCTGTGCGACCCACGGGACTTTGACACTAGCCTTCTCCTACCCCAGCAGATCTGATCTGACCCCTTGCCATGGGGCGCCATGAGTCTGGTAGGGCAATAACTGATCTCGAATCCCATGTCACATCTGGGGACACTGAGACCCACAGGAGTCTGATATAAGAGCCCAGAGATCCTGCACAACATCTCTGCTTCTCCCACAGCCACCCCTTGGGAGTCAGCAGGCATCTCTTCCCTTTCTTCTGTCTAGCCCCTTTCTAAGACAGCCAATTACTCCAGCATATGAAACAAGGAAAAGTAAAGTCAAGGTGGCTTTGCTGTCCCCAACTTTCATCCAGGAAGGGGCCACACCGCCAGGACTGCCGAGCTGCCCCACTCCTGCCTTAATCTCTGCCTTGTCTAGTAGAGTCTGAGCTACCCTGCCGCCAGCAGCCCATCCACCCACTCCCCTGTTGCAGTACAGACCTTCCTCCCGAATATGTCACAGTTACAGCCACAGGAACACCCGTCTGTTACTGATGATAGACCAGGAGACACGGTGGGAAAAGAAATTGCTTCAGCTACTCGCCAGACGATCAGGAGCAGGTGTCCGGGTACCAGTGTCTCATTCACCCCTGGCCAGAGTCAGCACACAGCAAGCGTAAATTGTCCATCCCCTCCAGACACACCTGCACCATCCCCTTCGGCCCGCATACCTGTCAGAGTTCTTGTGAGCAACAGGGCATGACGGCTCTGCGCTGACATCAGAGGCTCACTGAGGCTCAGCTGAGAGCCAAAAGGCTCTAAGGAAGTGGTGGGGGGCACAAGTCACAAGCCTTCACCTGTTTACTCCTCTCTTCTACAGGTCTTGGTTCAGGGAGTCAATGAGCCCCTGGTCAACAACCCCAGCCCTATGGTGGTGATTGCTCGGGTGGTTCCCAGCTATACTGAGTTTAAGTAAGTGGGTACAGGTTAGGAGGGAGGGGAGGGCAGAGGGCTGGGATGGGGAAAACTTCCCCTCACCTAAGTTCCCTCAAAGCTCCCCACACACCTTGACTTGAGGCTCTAGTGAGCTTCCCATAGCAAACTTTGCCTTTCTCTTCCAGAAGACCCAAGCCCTGGAAGGGGAAAGTGGGGATCTCTCCTAAGATTTTTGAGCGTATAGAGCCTAAAGAACAGGAAGGAGCTGGTATTAAGAAGCCCAAGAGAGGCCCCTTTTCCTGCCCAGGAGCACCTCTGCCCCCACAACAAACAAGCCTGCCATCCTAGGCTTACCACGCCTTGGTCCCCTTTCCCTGTCAGGCTCAAGGCTTCATTCAGGATCCTGCTGCTGGTGGTCCCCAGTGGATGACATAAGGCCACCTTGGAACTTTAGTCCTGCGAGGAGGGTCCTCTCTCGGCCTCCTGGAGGAGTCTGTGGTCTCCACTGTTCCCAGATCTCCCTTAGAGTCACAATCTCAGGAATGGATCCAGATAGTTTGACCAATGAAGCCCAAAGAGGGGAACATTCTTCAGGCGACGTGTGTGCTCTGGGCCAGCACCCCTCCTGGAGTCAGCTGTCACTACTGTCCAAGCTGACTTCATGACTACCTACAGCTCTGAGTGTTTAGACCCTAAAAGCCCCACTTTCTTACTAGAGGAATAACCACTAACGTCCCACTGCAGTGATAATACCCCACTGCACCCAAACTGCAGGCCTGTGTGCACGTTCCCCCACAGGCTCTTCACCAGGTAAGCATAAGCCAGGATTCCCACAGGTCAGGAACAATTCTGATAAAGACTTCCAAAGATGAGGTGGGGAAGGTAAGGCCCCTTTTAAAGATGGTAAAGCTGACTGGCTCTGATATAGCCAAGGTCATCTCAAGTCACTGCTGAGGGAGCCTAAGAGCTACCCTTGTCATCTCCAGACCAAAATTAGCCTTCCCAAGGCTTGGGCCAGAGATCACCAGCTTGTTTGTTACAAGGCTTAAAGAAGGTGGCCACTGCACTCACCCCTTCACCTTAACCCAGTGGATGTGAGTCCCAGCTGCCAGGCTGGCCACAGGTCAGAGAGTCTCCAACTCCTGTCTCCTTGCCTCTCCAGGGCCAACCAGACCAGACGGGACCCTGCTTCTGTGGGGCTGCCCCTCACCCAGATCTCCTTCCCTATTTCATCACCAATGAACTTTGATGTGCCTCGGGTCAGCCAGAATGGGTATCCTCAGGTATGGCTCCTTCCCAGCCACGGCCTCTCACTGAAGTACACGAGTAACCGACACATTCCTTCATCATGACATCAGGCGGCAGCTCAGCTGATGCTGCGAGGTATTTGCTGCATCTCACTGCTGCCCAGGATCCGCTCCTGTGTGCTGCACAGAACCTGCCCTCGGGACTCCTGGAGATACTAAACATCCACCCAGATCATGTCTAATCTAGTAACAAGCCAATGGGGACTGTCAGAGCTAAGGAAAGCAGAAAAGATGAGACACAAAGAACAAAGTATGGATTCCACCTGTCGTGGGGCACCTCAAATCAACAGTCATAGGGACAAAAGGCACAATAGTGTTATCAAGGGTTGGGGAGATGAGAGAACAGGGTTTGTGGTCTGTGGGTGTGGAACACTTAGGATGATGTGTGAACATGCATGTTTGTGTATGCATGTGTGTGCACGTGTGTGTGTGTGTGTGTGTGTGTGTGTAACAGAGGTCAACGTGCAGTGTTTTCACTTGATTGTTTTCATAGTTTTTAAATTTGGGATGTGTTGTGTGTTCACATGCCACAGAACAAGTATAGAAGTCAAAGGTTCAACGTGCAGGACCCTGTTCTCTCCTTCCACCATATGGGTCCCAAGGATCGAACTCAGGTCATCCGTCTTGGCAGCCAGCACCTTTACCCACTGAACTCTCTTGAGAGCCCTTCTTCCCCTTATTTTTTGAGACTGTCTCAGTGAATCTGGAGCTCACTGACTCAGCTAGACTGACTGGGGACCCGCCTGTCTCTGCCTCTCCGTGCTGGGATTCCAGAAGCTCACCCCCTTGCCTAGCTTTTTTCATATGTGTGCTGAGGACAGAACTCAGATCTTTAGCAAGGTCTTCAGAGAACTGGTCATTTTCTCAGCCTCCATAATACCTTTTTAAGGAGAGAAATGGAATGCCGATGTCTGGATGGTTAGGGAAGGCAAGTCATGACCCTTCACCTTGTTTTTGAGACAGGGTCTCTCCATCTGCCTGCTTTACCCTCCCAGCCCTAGTAAAACAGGCACGTGTCACTACGCCAACTCAGTCATCACTTTCTAGGCTTTTTTTTTCCTTTTCAATTCATTATCAATGCATTAATAATGAGGGGGCAACCATACCACAACACACACATAGAGGTCAGAGGACAGCTTTGTGGAACTGGCTTTATATAGGTTCCAGAGATCACACTCAGGTGGCTAGCCTTAACAGAAAGTCTCTTTAGTGCTGAGTCATTTCACCAGCCCATTGGTCTTGATGTTTTGTTATGAAAGGGCTGGTCCAGAGCAGTGAAAACACCTATATTGTATAGTATATAGTATAACCCAAGATGTCGTGAGTGCTGGGAATGGGCAGGAAGGTATTTGCTTAAATATGTTGGAGAAGGGGTACACAGGACCCAGGAAATGGCCAGATTGACCTCCTGTAGACTGTATGCCACTCGGAGCTTGCTGTACATGATGAAGGAAGCTTGGAAGACAGGGGGTTCTTGGAAGTCCCTCCTGTCATCAGTCCACTAAAATTAGAACGAGACACTCAATTGGAGCCCTAGCTTTCATGTAAAGGCAGACATTTAAAGAAGGTTCAGACACAGGCAGGAGTGATGGTAGGCAGGGAAGGGTGGGATAAAGGGGGGGATCATGGGGACAGCTTCAAAATCAAACCAATCCTCGGCCTGATTTCCCCAGAGTCACCTCACACATGGCCCTGCATTTGCACAGAAAATTATGAACCAATCGGCAGCTGTCCCAAGGGGCAGGAGATACTGCCTGCTTTAATGAGTGAGCCTCTCCAGGCCTGACCACTGGCTGTCTCCACTGCCTACTACACATAAAAGGGCGAGGCACTCCTCCCGAGAGAGCTCTCCAGTGCTTTTCCCATGTGTGGGACTCAAGGCCAGAGCCCAGCAACAAGACACTTGTTTAAGGTTACCCAGTATGGTGGCCGCTGGATAAGGTCTAAAGCTACATGTAGCCTGTGCAGAGAGGCCCAGGGGTCAACAGGGAAAATGAGAGAGACAGGCTGGGAAGTAAGAGGGATCCTGTCATGAATTCTGAGCCTAGAGAGTACACAGTCCCCTACCTGTCCCTTCTGAGCTTCATGGTCTTTACAGTTGACGGAGTGGGGACTGAACCAGGTAATTTCCAAGTCTGGTCTTTGACATCTTGGAGTGCTGTGCGTTTCCCACAACCCCTGGGGAGTGGTTGCGAGACCCAGCAGACCTAGGTTGGAGCCCAACTCTGTAGCTTGCTAGTGTGTGACCTTCAACAAACCGTATGGTTCCTCCAGACCTATTGACTCCTAGCTGACTAGGCAGTTAGACTAAAAGAGCTAACCCAGGCCAGGAGTCCCTTCTGTCTCCTTCAGAGTTTCACAGTCTTTATGATAGAACTCCCCCTGAGGCCAGCCTTATCATTGCACCTGATGCCTGTGATGAGCCCCACGGAAACCCCAACTCAGATGGACCTCTCTACCGCCATACATCATAGTCTCGGCATCAGATGCCACCCTGTGGTAGCCCTTCAGGACGTGATCTCTGACACCTAGCAGTGATCATTTCAGCGACTAACTGCTCCTGGCAGCAAGTGTCCCAGGTTTCTGGCCCAGAGATGATCAAAGGCTAGTAAAGAGCTAGGTTTTTATGAGAAACTAGTAACTAACTCCTCCTACTAAGTTCCCAACCAACCTTCCTTCTGGTCTCGTTGGCCAGAGTCGGATCATAAGCACTTCCTTGAGCCATTTCCTAAGGAGGGTGTGGTTCTGACTTGCTGATAGCCTAAGTCAGCAGCTGTGAAGAAAGGAGCCACCCGGATAAAAGGGCTCTAGCTTCTGACTGTGAGGCAAGAACAGAACGTACCAGGTCACCCCCAGTCTGTTCCACAGAACATACCAGGTCACCCCCAGTCTGTTCCACAGAACATACCAGGTCATCCCCAATCTGTTCTGCTCCTTCCCCAGCCTGGTGAGGATGGCAAAACCTGAGCTCTGGTGAATCAAGCGATAGATCAGACATATCCGATTGGACATAGACTTGTGAGCTGGACCCATCTGCTTGCTCCTGTAGCTCTCACAACCTGCAACATGGGGGCTGAGCTCCCAAGAGTGAAACAAATGAAGGAGAAGACCCATCTGTGCCCGTCATCTCACCCTGCCCCAGTCTCTCAGTCTTCCCAAGCTCTTAGAGTCTTTCCCATCACCCTGGGTTCACTCTAGTACTGGCTGCTGTTCTTGCCTGGACCATTGTTGCAGCCTTCCCTTTCCAGAAACAGGTAAGGGATGCCCTGCCTGAACCACAGGCTTCCCTGGGCCCCTTCAGCCCTCTCTCACACAGAACCAAGCCCCAGTTACCTGTATACTGTTTGTCCAGATACGGGAGCTCATCACTCCAATTCTCACCCAGCCTCGGGGAAGACTCATCCACTGTTCTCTGTCTTAGTCCTCTCTCACCTTCAACCTTGACCTCAACTCTCAGCTCTTCCCTGCCCCATATTCTTAAGCAGTGTGGCTTTCTCTTCAGGTATCCTAACTGCTACCACAAGAACTTGATCAGGCCACTGCACGGTGGCAGGAATGGGTGGGTATTTATTAACATCGTAGATATACTCTATACTCTTGGAAGATAAGCTCTAGGAAGAGTCAGAGTCTGCCTCTAGCTCTCCCACAGTCAATGCAACACCCTATGAGTGTCGTCATGGTGTCCCAGGCATTATTTGCTAAGTTAAGTCAAACTGAACTTCCACCTATTAGAAAAACATCCATTGTCTCCTTCAGCCTTGCAAACAGCTTTCAAAGTGTGAAGCAAGAGGCATTTATTTGACCAAAACAAAACCAAAACCAAACAAACAAACAAACAAACAAAAAAAAAAACAACTAAGTCCCAGAGAGGGAAAGGGACCTGCTGTGATACAAACAATAAGGTTTTTTGTTTGTTTGTTTGTTTGTTTGTTTTACTTTTTCTAGACAGGGTTTCTCTGGTTTTGGAGGCTGTCCTGGAACTAGCTCTTGTAGACCAGGCTGGTCTTGAACTCACAGAGATCCGCCTGCCTCTGCCTCCCAAGTGCTGGGACTAAAGGCGTGTGCCGTGGGCCCAGAGCCAAGGGTCCTAGCTTGCCGGGAGCCCCAGGCAGCACCAGCCACCATCAGCTCTTCCTCACAGCATGCCTCTGCTGTTCCTGGGCAGAGCAGACAGCAGTGGATGAGGGTGAGAGCCAGGGTGAGTCCAGGGGAAATAGGAGGAGAAGGAAGGGCCAAGGGCCCCTGGAATGAAGGCTCTGTCCCCAGGGAAGGCAGGTCTGCCTCAGTGGCAGAGGGTTAATGGCTTTTCTGAAGATCACAGCTGAGGGTTAATGATATTCCTTAATTCCAAAGCCCACCATAGCCTTTCCCATTAGCATCTTCAGGCCATGTCTACCCTATCCCCACCCCACGCCCTCACCCCTGCACAGCATTCAGATCAGCCACTAGCACTTGCCTCTTCACAGGGCTGATAACAGATTTTTATTTAACTGTGAGTCCCACACACGAGTGTGTGTGTGTGTGTGTGTGTGTGTGAGAGAGAGAGAGAGAGAGAGAGAGAGAGAGAGAGAGAGAGGAGAAAGAGGAGAAAGAGAAAATATGTATTATCCGCCCTCTGATATTCCAGGTATGAAGGGCTTTCTCCTAGGGATTTACCCTGGGACCCTTTCAGGGAAATGGTGTCCCTCATTGGGCAGCAGCCACTTACCACCTCTTGCCATGTAGACTCCATTTAGATCTGTTAATAAGTCCCACAGCAGACAGCTAGCATCCATTAAATAACCCTTTCCCAGGATAGGGGCAACAAATGAGGCAGCAAGAAACCAAGTCACAGTCCCTCCTCCCTGGGGGCCATGGGGCCTGGCAGCTGGCCCAGGCAATGTGGACACCCCCCTCTGATACCCAGGATGTGGGAGGGTCATAGCATGGGGATCAATCCTAAGAGACCAATACCAAGCTTCACAGAACTCAGGTCTGGCTTCTGGGGCCTCGACTACTGACCCTCCCTGAGCTTCCACCGTGACATCTTAGGGATGTGTCCATGACTCCAGCCACCATCCTAGTGCTCATCTGTTCCTGTGCTGACCACAGACCATCTCCTAGGGGACAGAGAAAGATTCAGACAAGCCTTGGGCAAGACTCCTGAGGACCAGAGCAAGCCTACTAGTGTAACAGATGTGAGAACCCCGCCCAGTCAGGAGGAGTAGGCTTGCACTGACATTCCTCTGTCTAACATCAGTAACCCCTGGAGTGTTTTTGCTGACCTTTTCCTGAGATTGCTAATCCCCCCAGGGGAACAAAACATAGGACCCCTGCCACTGTGGCTGGCGGCCCCGGGCAGGGCAGTGGCAAGGCAGCCCATGCTGAGATCATGCAGCTATTTTTCCACCATTTATGTGGGTTCTGGGATTTTCCATGAGTCCCCCCACTCCCTTCCAGGGTTCTTTGCGTGTCCTAAGCTGTATGCCTCCTCCACACTTTGTGGCTTGTGTCACTCTCCCACTGGAAGCCCCTCCCCTCTTCTTTCACCATGTCACATCCCCCTTCAGGGCCTCTTCTGGCCCTGCTTCCTCTGAGGTTTGGGGACCACCCAGAGTCTCCCTCATTGGGTATTAGTCAGCGCTGCCACATTTCCTCTTCCAAGCCATGCCCATGTGTGCCTCCCACATTTTGGAGTCTGAGGACCTGTGTGGCCTTCTGGGCAGGTCTGGGGTAACTTGTGTGGAATAGACAGGGCCTGTGGATGTTGGTACAGCACTGGGGAACACTACACACATCTAGCAAGCACATTAGAGCTTGAAAATGTTTTCACTGAGCAGTACTTTAGGTATTTGCACTGGGAAAACAGTCTGGGGTACAGAGGTGTGGAGCAAGGAACACCCAGTACAGTGTCGTCGGAGGAAAAAAATACCAGAAAATGGGAGAGCGAAATGGCTCAGAGCACTAAGGTGTTTGCTTCCATGCCTGACAATTTGAGTTTGATTATCCAAAATCTACCACATGGTGGAAGAAGAAAGTTACTTCAAGCAAGTTTTTCTTTGACCTCTGCATATGTGTTGTGGTGCACACACACACACACACACACACACACATTAAAAACTTTAAAAGAAGGAAAAATCAGGGCAATTGGACATGATAACGCATCTTCTGGGGAAGATGGACTCTGTTTTGATTTTTAAGAGGGTCATATGTAACCCAGGCTGGCCTCAAATTTGCTACCTAGCTAAGGTATCCTCCAACTCTTTATATAGCCCAAGTTGTCCTTGAACTCCCGATCCTCCTGCCTCTACCTCTCAAGTGCTGGGATTATAGGTCTGTGCCACCAAACATAGGATATCTTGAAGTTACTAAAGTCATGGGTAACGGGAGTTTCTTGAGACTCTGGGTGTGCTTCTGTTTTGAGTATGAACGGAAAAGTGCAGAGTGGTAATTAGACAAAAAAAAAAATGTGCGCAGACAAAGTGGGAACACGGTGGTATTGAGTGACCATCTCTTTTTTCTGATAACAGGGTTTCTCTGTGTTGCCCTGTAGACCAGGCTGGCCTCGAACTCAAGAGATCTGCCTGCCTCTGCCTCCCAAGTGCTGGGATTAAAGACATGCGCCACCACTGCCCAGTTTGAGTGGTTGTCTTAATGTAAGAATATAGGAGTTCCCCCTTCCTTTTATTTACCATTTTTTTTTGCCTTTTTATAACTGGAACAAACGGATACATGTGCTCCAAACCTAGAAGAAAGGATGACCCCACGGCTGCTCTCTCATTCTTCCAGCTGTCCAGGCCCGGGGGACCCCCAGAGCAGCCCATATGGAACCAGTCCTTCCTCTTCCAAGGCCGAGATGGAGCCACCAATTTCTCAGAGGACACAGCACTGGTGCTGGAGTATTACCCTTCTGCTTCAAGTAAGTGCCCAGTGTCCCATCAGGGCAAAATCCATCAGGAGAATCTTATTAAGGGACATTTGGACAGCCTGCCTCTGCCTCTTTCTTGTAAGGACTGCCTAAGGATCTCCAGGAGCCAGGAACCCCCAGTACAGGCAAAGACTAGAAGAAGGTCTAGTTTAAATCCACATCCATAGGGCAGCTACGGAGCACAGGCCAGGAATTGTGGGCCTATCCCTTCCTGGACACCGTAGCATCCATCAGTGAGAAGAGGGTGTACTGGAGAATGGCAGAGGAATACACACACACACACACACACACACACACACACACACACACTAGAGGATGGAGACAGGATGAGTCAGAAGAATACCTATCTGCTTAGAGTCGCTCTGAACTGATAAATCTCTGAATCTGGCCGAGTGTGTGTGTATAAGGGAAAATGGGAGGCAGGGAACCAGGGGCAGTGGGAACCTAGAGAGTTGCATGTCCAATGCCAAGGATGGAGCCTGTCTAAAAACCCACCTAGGAATCTGGGCAACAGGAACAGGAAGTTGTTGACAGGAGCTTCAGTTGGTCCTTCCTCCCACAGTGAAAAGCAGTGAACCGTGGAGCCTCAAACAGCCCCTGGGTGTCTCCGTGCTACCACTAAAGCCTCGTCTGTACCACAAGATGTTGACAGGAAAAGGCTTGAAAGGGCTGTGTGTGGAACGGCTCCCCATCACTGTAAGTCCCTACCATTGGTTGGTCCTCCACATGATACCACCCACTCCATGGCCACACCTACAGAAGGGAATAATGGTGTCTTTTGAGAGGAAGGGAATCAAGACAGGCTTTCTCTGTGTAGCCCTGGCTATCCTGGAACTTGCTCTGTAGGTCAGGCTGGCCTCAAACTCAGATCTGCCCACCTCTGTCTCTTGAGTCCTGGGATTGAAGGCACCCAGTTGAATGTGACTTCTTAACAGCCTCACACTTATCAGAGTGCCCACCTGCTGGTGTGAGGAACACGGAAGACTGGTCTTACCTGTGGAGCTTGAGAGACAAGCCAGGGTGAGCCCCTGAAAAAGCAAACCTGGGGCCTCAGGGGGTAAGAGCAAGAGCTCAGGCTTTCCCAGAGCTGGGCCCAAGGCTTTCCTTACCCCATCTTCCTGTAGGACCTGGGACAGATGACGACCTCTCTAGGCCTCATTTCTCATCTCTATTCACACATCCAACACAATACACAGAGGGCTACACTCAGGCTCTGGGGGGTAGACTGATGGAGCTCAGATTCCGGCTTCACCTCTTGCCAGCTTTACAGGTGACCGTATTCCTTTCTGTGAGGAAAATACTATTCGTGCCTCAGTTTCCTTGCCTATAACACACACGCGTACACATGCACACACGTACACATATATACACATACATACACATACATGTACACACTCATGCACACACATATGCACACGCATAGCATATGCACACACACACAGAACTGCGCTTGCTCACAGGGTTGTTATGGGATTTAGCCAGGAAATACATAAAGCACTTAGAATAGATTCCAATAATGTCTAGCCTGGCGGAGCTTATAAATTCTGGCTACTCCAGAAGCTGGGCAGGAGGATGGAAACTTTGAGGTTTGTATGGGCTACAGAATGATTTTGAGACCAGTGTGGGGAACCTTATCTCAAAATAAAAGGTGAAAAAAAATTTAAAGGCTTGGAATGTAGCTTTAGTGAAAGAACACTTGCCTAGTATGCAAGCTTGCAAGAGGAAAAAGTTCAATCCCCATTGGAAAAAATAATTTTATCATTACTGTATATATATAAACAGGGTCTCAGGTATCCCAGACTGGGTCAAACCTTGCTATGCAGCCAATGTTAACTTTGAGCTCTTAATCCCCTTGCCTCCACTCACCAAGTGCTGGGACTACAGGCAAGAGCCGCCATACCCAGCACCATTGTCTATTTCTGTGCCTAAATACATTTCCCTAAATACTTCTGACATGACAGCAAGCAGGAACTTCTGCTCTGCCAGAAGATGAGTGTGGAGGTGCCAGTCAGGTGTCGAATGGAGTGAGAAGGGCCGTGTGGAGGCGGTGCTGGAACAGAGGCAGAAGGCCAGCTCAGGCATCCCTCCCTCCCACACTCTTCCCGGGGAAGCCAGAACAAGAGGTGGGGCAGAGGCCTTGCCTGTGTTGGCCATGTAGACTCACTACCCCTTCTCCTCCCCAGAACACCCACCTGAAAACCATCAACGGAGAGGCCCCCACGGTGAATCTCTGCTTCCAACTTCTTTCCTCTGAGGTAAGGGAGAAAGGTCAGACATGGCCCCCAGAACCATAAAGTGAGTGACGATGTCCTTCACAGGGACTGACCCTCAGGGCTGTGGTCAGGAAGAAGAAAGAACCTGCAGGTTTAGCTAGGGAGTTCTGAGGAAGTTTGAGGCCCCAGGAAACCAGGCAGAGTGCTCCAATGAGGAAAAGCCACGAACAAAGGGCTGCACACTCTGCCCCAACCTAACCTAACCCTCTCCAGCTTAACTGGGAGTCAAAGTTCCGTGGGGATGACAGGGGTTCTTTTAGGGGTGCAGGCAGAATCTAGTTCCTTGCAGTGTAAGACTGGTGGCCCTGATTCCTTGCTGGCTGCTAGCCAGGCTGCTCTCAGCTTCTGGAGACCGCCTACATGCCTTCTTACCAGGGTCCCTGTACTGCGATGCCAGCAGGCACAGCCAGTCCCCAGCACACTTTGAAATTCTGACTTTCTCTTCTGTCAGCAGCCAGAGAAGAGACTGTGCTTTAAAAAAAAAAAAAAAAAAAAATGGGATCATCATCTTGTCTTAGGGGCCGCTATGTCAGACAGCCCAACAGAATCATGAAAGCGATGGCTATTTGGCTATCTCAACATTAAGGTGTGGGGGCTTGGTGACCCATTTTGGGGTACTGCCAGCCATAACAGAGTTGATCCATGTGGAAGGTTACTAGGGCAAGCCCTGCCTGGGGGAGGCCACGCCTCCTCTAGCCACTTAGTGGCTGACTCCGGCTCAGACACAGGCCATGGCTCTAGTGGACCCACTAGTGAAAGTCACCCTCTGTAACCTCTCCACTTTCCCCTCTGGTACTAGGGTGTGGGCAACCTGACCACAAAGCCAGGAAATGTTCACGAGCTGATTAAGGGCTAATCTACTCTTGCTAGTTTCTCGGGACAGGAAAAATCCGACAGCTGTGGGGTAGTTCAGAGCCTTCTGTCCTTACCCATGAAGAATGTGGGAATTCCATGCTATGTGGCATGAGGAGGCTGGGAAGATGACGGCACAAAAGCCCCAGTGTGGTCACCATCATCCTCTCCAGAGCCCTCTAATCCCTGCTCATGGCATCCACACCTGTCCTTACCACTAAACCAAAGGCAAGAGTCAGAAAACCCACAGAGAAGTCGCCCAAAGCAAAAGACTCAGGACTGCTGAGATGGCTCAAGTCTGACGGCTTGAACTGGATTCCTAGAACTCATGTATATTAGAAGGAGAGAGCTGAGTACACAAAGTTGCGCTCTGACATTTATGTGTATGTACACACACACACACACACACACACACACACACATGCTCAAGCATAATCACTAATAATAACATGTGTGCCATGTATAATAACTAAAAATTTCAATTAAAAATGTTTCAATCCTAAGAAAGGAGAAGCGGGGAAAGGAAAAATACATCTTAGAGAATCCCAAGCCTTCTCAGGGTCTAGGATCTGTCTGTCAATAGCCACTACCAGTTTCTCGCCATCTCCCTCTGCCTCCTGTCTTGCCCCAGGACACATGCACTCTGCAGCCAGAGAAGAAAAAAGAGCTAGGTAGCCCTGGCTGGGAGGATGATGGGGACAGGCAGGCAACAGGCAGGTGGGTAGGACTTGTCCCCTGTTGCCCAGAGGCTGGGCACAAAGGTCTCCAGTGATGAATTATTCACTGGAACTGTGCTAAGTGCAGAATTAATCCCTTTCCTTCCAGCTGGCGGCCTCACTAAATTATCCCTCCAAGTCATGCGGGAAAACGCTGCCGAATTCATTTAGCTGCTGAGTGTTTTGATCTGGGCCTTGTGATTTTAGCTTTCCCTTTCCTTAGCCCCCTTCCCCTAGAGGTGGGGGAGAAACCTTTTAGTAATGGATTTCTAAGAAGAAAGGGAAAAAAAAGAGACCAAGATTAGGTGTGTACCAGAAAAAAAAATAGTACTGGCAGAAATGCAGACCCAACCATCACGAATTTGTTCACAGACGTTCTGCACATGTCTACATGTTCATGCAGCCATGCATGAGTGTTTACACAGGGACAGTCACATGTGCACAGATTTGCATGGGCACACACCTCTTCAATGGTGCCTGCATTCAATGCATATGTCCACCAGAGGTAAAATGACGGACATTTCACTCCTGTGTCCACACACAGTCTCTCTGTAGCTCAGCTGTTCCATGGAGATGCCAGCTGAGAGCTAACCAGTAAGTGACTCATTTGACTCTACCATGCTGAAGACCAAGTTAGGGAAGTGGCTGTGGCGGTGCTGGTGTGAGTGGACTCGTCATCAGGCCCTTGCTGCAACGACAGCCATCTCTGTGCTGTACAGACATAAGGAGTATATGACATCTGTCTTGCTATACAGATCTAAGGAGAACTTCCTACATGCCAGGCAGTGGGCAGCTCAAAAATTTCACCATGTGACCTTGTGGGTTGAAGTGGGGGCATGTCCTGGGGTTACAAAACCCGTGTTCCTCAAGGTATATTAATTCTCAACTAGTTTTGGACATGACCCTCACCCAGTATAGACACTAATTCTTTTGTCATCTTCCCACTAAGGGTCAAATGAAGAGTGTTGAGAATTGGTGAACGGGTCAGGTGGTACTTCAGGTAGATCTACAGGGGCCCTCTCCCTGGATCCCCATCACCTTCACGATAAAGTGTCATTATTCTCACACACCTGCTATCAGTACGCATCAACCCTTGTGTACTGGGGTCAAGAGAGAGTACAATAAACAAGACCAAGAAATCTTTCTCTTTATAGACATCAAAGGATGGAGACTAGAATGAATACATAGGTTCATGAGTAGATACTGGTTAGCAATATACAGCCTAATGATCCTTGAGATGATAAAATCCAGAGTCCCTGGAAAAGCTGTTTGGCATCCCAATCTGAGTAAAGTTGGAGCTTAGCTACTGTGAGAGACCAGGATCCTTCCATCTTGATGTTCCATCTTGGAGCAGACTTGAGCTTTGTGGTCCATGCTATGCTCCTCCATGTGCAGTCTATGGGCCAGTGATGGCAGACTCAGAACAAGGACCACCCAGTAATTCCTCCCAGCACAGTCTAAAAGCACCAAGGAGTCACTACCAGGGACAAGGCACCAGAGTTCTGTGTGCATTCTAGCTGCACAGAGCAGCTTGAGGTGGCAGGTGTCTTGGGACACCTGACCAGCACAACTGACAAGTCTATCCTTGGGTAACTCCTTGCATGTGACCAGGATGGGAGTAGAGAGGAAGGGCTCCAAGCCTGAGGGCTGAAGGTTCAGCACAGGTTGTTCTAGCTCCTTGGTCACTTGCCAAGCTCAGTCTGCCATACCCATGGTTTCTGTGCCAGCCATTCTCAGAGATCAGGGACAGGAGTGTGGTAGGATGTCCAAAAGGAGGCAGCAGAGGTCTCTCTCAACAAATCTGGACAGGAACATCGTCAGCTACAACCACCACTATAGGTGGTTATCCTATCCT